CAAATTCAGCTAGGTTGGAGAAATGGAGAAAAAAGGGTTGTTGTGGTGACTACACCCCTTTGGAGAGTGCTTTCTTCCTCTCTGTCTCTTTCTGGAGAATGCAAAAGCCCTCTGGCAATTAAAAAATGCTATCTCTTATGTACATGTCACATAAGCCTCATACATGTGTATGAAAACACACATAAGGAACCAGCAGTTAGCGTAATGGCTATGTCACTGGACTCCCACGTAGTCGACCGCGGTTCGCATTCTGGACCTGGTGGCTTAAAACTCACGCTGGGCATGTGTGCGTGTGTGCCCAAGATCCCGAGAGGAGAATGGAGGAGAAGGGATTGTGGCATGACCATCCCCCCCGGGGGTTGATTTCTCGCTTTCTGTCTCTATGTCTCTGTCTGTCTGGTGAGCGCATGCACCCTATAGCAAAAAAAACCTCTCCAAAAAATAAAAATAAAAAAAAGAAAAGAAAACACACATAGAGCCTACCCTGAATCACTGATTCTTAGTAAGTTAAGAGCAAATGAATTAGTTCCAAAATATTTATTCGACATAAGAATGTAGCATCTATCCGATTTTGGGTCTGCTATACTTCCAAACGTATCTACTGTCCTAATTTGATTTTTCTAAGCAATGTTAAAAAGACTTTGTATTATGGGAATCAGCAGTTAGCGTAATGGCTATGTCGCTGGACTCCCACGTAGTCAACCGCGGTTCACGTCCCGGACCCGGTGTCTTAAAACTCACGCCGGGCGCGTGTGCGTGCGTGCCCAAGATCCCGAGAGGAGAATGGAGGAGAAGGGATTGTGGCGTGGCCATCCCCCCAGGGGGTGATTTCTTGCTTTCTGTCTCTCTGTCTCTCTCTGTCTGTTTGGCGAGCGCACGCACCCTATAGCGAAAAACCTCTCCAAAAAAAAAATAAATAAATAAAAAGACTTTGTATTTTGTTAGTTAGTGGCAGCAGGGAGATAAGAGAATATTTAAATATTGTTGCAAGTAATTCATAAAGTACTTTATTGATTAACTGTGTCATTTTGAAAATGTAAGTAATGCAAGAAAAAAGGCTAAGCTTGGAGTCAGAGGATAGAGGTTTGAGTGTGCTTACTGACATGAATAAATAGCACATCAAGGAGCTTAAATGGAAATCTAATGTGTGATAAAATATTATTGCATGTCAGAGGGGAAAGTTGGATTATGTAATTAAGGATCTTGGGACAATTAGGTATACGGGGAGGAAAAAAAACCTTTTTTTCCCCATAAATTACATTAAAATAAATTCTAAACAGATCAAATACTAAAATACTAAAAATGGAAACATGTCATAAATCTAAAATTGTGCTAAAAAATTAAGTCCCTAAAAAACTGAAAGCATGGGACCAGCAGTTACTGTAATGGTTATGTTGCTGGACTCCTATGTAGTTGACCGCAATTTGAGTCCCGGACCTGGGGAGTTAAACTCACGCTGGGTGCATGTGTGTGCGTGCCCAAGATCCTGAGAGGAGAATGGAGGAGAAGGAATTGCAGCATGGCCATCCCCCCTGGGGGGTGATTTCTCGCTTTCTGTCTCTCTGTCTCTCAGGCAAGCACACACGCCCTATAGCAAAAACCTCTCTAAAAAAATAAGAAAAAAAGAAAGCATAAAAATACTAGAAAAAAAATGAGAGATTTAGTTTTTTGAATCTCAAAGTAGGAAGGATCTTTCTAGTTTTACCCAGAAGCCTTATCATTTATCATACTTTTTATTGTATTGAAACAAAAAGTTGGGTCAGCTCCATGGGATAGCAGTACAGTGGTGCTCAAGAAAAGCCAGCTCTTACATGGAGGCCACAGTTTGAATTCTTGGCTGAGTTAATCTGACACACACTGGGCATGTGCACAAGTGCCCAAGATCCCATGGGCTGGAGGGCTGGAGAAATGGGATCACAGTGTTACTAGACCTTCTAGGGGGTGCTCATCTCTCTCTCTCAAGCATGTGTGTGCATATTGTCTGTTATGAATAAAGAAAAATGCATTTTTAAAAGAAAAAAAGAAGTTTCTGCAGGGTCAAAAATCAATAAACAAAGTTAAAACATTGGCAGTCAGAATCATGAAGAGCTTAATATAAGCAGAAACATAGACAAGTGACCTGAAACACATATCTTACATGAAATGAAATGTATTTGGCTTTCAATCATGGAAAAAATAAAGTATATTAATCTTAATGCAAATTAAAACTATGAAATAACAATTTTTATCTATTTGATTGACAAAGATGGAAATGTTTTTTAGTACACTTTTTGGGGTTCTGGAGAGTACTCTCAAACATTTCTGGTATAATTATGAATAAGCAAAACTATGACAGGGTGCAGTTTGTGAATGTCTATCAAAATGTAACATTGAGTCCTCTTGGAATATACTAAAAATATACTTGTAAAATGCAAAATTACATACTTTCGATACAATATATTTGCCACAGCTTTATTTGTAATAGAAAAAAAGACAGAAATGTTTTAATTGTCCATCAATAAAAGGTTGGTTAAATTACATACAGTACATCAATACAAGGGCCTATTTATTATGTAGCCCTTAAAAATTAGGGAAGAGAAGAGACCAGAAATGGACTGCAGGTATGTACTCAGTTGATTTGACAAAGTTGTGAAGGTAATGAGATGAGGAAAGGATAGTCCTTTCAACAAATGGTACTGAAACAATTCAATGTTTATATGCCAAAAAAAAAAAAAAAGAACTTAGATCCTTACCTCATACCACATACATATATTAACTTGGAGTAGTTCAAAGACCTAAATTTAAGATTTAAAATAGTAAAATATCCAAGAGGAATCATAGGAGAAAATCTTTGTATCCTTAGATTATGCAAAGATTTCTTAGTTATGACACAAAATAATGCACAAATGACAAATAAAAATACTGTTAATTTGAACTTCATCAAAATGAAAAACTTTCACTTTTCAAGAAAAGAATGCCATTATAAAAATGAAAGAACAAGTCATAAACCAGGAGAAAATATTTGCAAAACATATATTTGATAAAAGACTTGTTTCCAACATATATATAGAATTAATCAAATTCAGTAATAATTACACAAACAACCCAATTAAGAAAAAATATAACAAGAGCAAATATGTACATGAAAAGCTACACAGTATCATTAGATTCTGAAACTACAAAGTAACGCCTTGCTCAGATACTGCTCCATATCTAGAAGTCTAAAGCCAAACATAAAGGGACATAAAAAGCAGTGGTAAGGGTGTGGCGAAGCTGGAACCTCATGCAGCACAGGTGGGTATATACGAGGGTGCTGCCATCTGTTAGTTTCTCAAATAGTTAAATACACATTTACCACACAGTTCAGCAATTTTATTTCTGGACAAGTACTCTCAAAAGTGACAAGGCCTAGTGGCACAGTATAACATCTGCTCAAGTGATACTGGGTACATACAGGATCACGGGTTTGGTTCTCTGGTAGACCCGGGTGCACGTGATCCTGGCTTACTGGAAAGGCTTGATGGGGGAAAGGGCCATGGTGTGAGACCTTGTTAAGGATGCTCATATTTTTTTTTCCTGTGACCCACCCCCTTTCATGAAATAAATTTATTAAAATTTTAAAACATTGAAGTCGTATATCTGTGTGAAGACTTGCACACAAATGTTCTTGGCAGCACTATTTATAATAACCCAACCTGGAAGCAATCCAAAGTTTCATTAGTTTGTGACTGGATAAACAAAATCTGGTGTACAAGGGAGTCTTCAAAAAGTCTGTGGAAAATGCAAATTATGAAAAAAGTATGATTGGATTTCAAAATTTTTACATCAAAATAACCTGAACTTTAATTTTCCAGAAACTGTTTGAAGTGCCCTTGTGTCTATGCAATGGAATACTACTCAAGAGTAAAAAGGAGGGACCAGCAGTTGGCGTAATGGCTATGTTGCTGGACTCCCACGTAGTCAACGGTGGTTCATGTCCCGGACCCGGTGGCTTAAAACTCACACCGGGTGCGTGTGCGTGCGTGCCCAAGATCCCGAGAGGAGAATGGAGGAGAAGGGATTGCAGCGTGGCCATCCCCCCTGAGGGCTGATTTCTCGCTCTCTATGTTTCTGTCTCTCTCTGTCTGTCTGGCGAGTGCATGCGCCCTATAGCAAAAACCTCTTAAAAAAAAAAGAGTAAAAAGGAATTACTGATACACGGCAACAATGCAGATGCTCCTCCTAATCACCATGCAAAGTGAAAGAGGCCACACACAATATTATTCAAGGAGCCAGACCCCATAAATTTCTAAAAGCATAAAACTATAAAGATGAAAAGATTAATGGTTTGGGGGGGATGGGGTGGGAGCAGCTGAAGGAATAATGGAACATTTTGGCATGACAAAATTATTCTAGAATTAGATTTTGATGATGGTTGCACAACTGTATAATTTTTCTAAAACTTATCATTCTGCATATTTTAAAATGCATTAATTTTATGTACATAAATTATAACTTAATAAACTGTTTTTGAAAAGCTCAAAAAATAATGAGACAGTTCATATATTCTGATAAATTTAAAAGTCAAGATATTTCCACTGGATCAAATCCTACCATTTTTGTAAAAGCTAAAGTATATTTTTTATATGCATGGACTATCTCTAGAAGGGTACAGTAGAACTGATAATAGAATTTCCTTTTGAAAAGGGGTGGTAGGGTGGGGGACAGAAATGTAAGGAAAAAGTTAATAATGTCCTCTTGTTTGAGAAAGAGAAAAAGAGAGAGAAGTTCTGAGTCCCAGGTTAGTTATACCAGCTCTGTGACCATGGACAACTCTTTGAGCTTCCGTTTCCTCACCTGTAAAATCAAGGGCTTAGATCAGTTGATCTCTAAAGACACTTCTGATTTTAAGTTTTGTGCCCTGAGAACTCCTTTTATATTTTTTGGAGAGGTTTTTGCTAGAGGGCATGTGCACTCTCCAGAAAGACAGAGAGAGACAGAGGAACAGAAAGTGAGAAATCACCCCCCAGGGGTGATGGCCGTGTCACAATCCCTTCTCCTCCATTCTCCTCTCAGGATCTTGGGCACGCACGCATACTGCTCTGAGAACTTTTTTAAGGATAATTGTCTCACCCCTGTCTGCATTTTCCTTATCCTTTCCCCGAATATCACCAAATGTCACATACAAAGCCATGAGAAAAAGCTTTGCTCTTTCTCACCCAGTTTATTCGGTTCTCATCCTCTCGGCAACATGTAAAACATGGATGTCAACCAGACATGAGGTGGCAGCCTGGAACTCCAAATTGGCAGGTGGGTGACAAGATGGCAGATAGATGCATGTAGTATACACATCCTGGGGACAGTTGCTTGAGATGGAATCCTACGCTCTTGCTTGCCAACAATGTGACCATTCCTATGACAAATATAAAATGGCATTATCCTCCTAGGGTTTCTTGTGGAGGTTAAGAGTGATAATTCATATCATTCCTTAGCATGAGGTTTCCCTCATAGTAATATTCAATAAATTTTATCCCTTTTCATTATTAACCTGAACTCCCCCTACTCATTGGACCTAGAGCTTTCCAGAGAGTGGAAGGAGAGGCATCTCAGTTATCAGGCTTGTACGCAATAGCAGGTAAACTAGGAAATCTAGCGGTGGCTTGCTTTTCCAACCCAGCAACCAAAGAGTCAGGTAAATTCTGCTACCTCCATGTCAACAGCACTGAGGAAAATGTTAAGATTCTCTCCCTGAACATCAATTATATCCTGAAGACATGATGGATGCAGGCTGTAAAATTGTGAGACTATGACATCACGTGGTGCGTTGAGCCAGTTAAGTTACAATGAGTTTCAACTTACATGATAAATTGCCTTGAACTACATTTAGATCAAAATGCAATGAAATATTATAAACTTCTCTACGTGGTAGCCATTCGATAAATAGGAGTTACTGCTTTAAATGTAATCGAACCAACCCAAAAGCCTTCCATCACCATGACGTTTCCATTTCTCAACTCTTGTGTCTCATATCTAAATCCAGACAACTCTCTGTGGATCTTTGTAATGTGGAGGGTCTCATCCATGGATAGCAGCACCACCCCTACAAAAAAAAAAAATCTCTGTAAGCTTTTAAAGAAATTGAATTTCCCCTGTGTATTTATATAAAGTGACAGTGAACCTCTGTTTATACATTCTTTGCATTATACGTTATTAGATCACGTTCTAGAACTAGATTCTAGAAGACACAGTTTACTGGTTTGACCTGCTTACTAATTCATTCATGTATGTCTGCTCTCCCTGACTGTTTTTGTACTCTTTAGGACAAGAGCCCTCCACATTCTGGCTGGTTTCACATGAATTCTTTCTAGGACCCTTTGAAAGAACAATTCTTACCCGCAACTTTAGAGATGAGGATATGGAGGCCGGGAGAGGATAAAGAGTTCAGCTGAAGTCATGCAGTTCTGTGGCTCTTTAGGGATAGGTGGAGGTATTACAAAGAGTCTAGATAGATCCCAAGTCATAATGCCTGTCAACTGACTAAATGTTTTAGAAGTATATGTACCTTTATTTTTCAAATCTGGTTATGTCGTAACAATTCATTCATTAAATATAAATTAATTTAAAGATGTTACTGAATTCAAAATAGCTTTTGGTTATTTTCTTTTTTTTTTCCCCCGTAACTTATTAGGGATTTCCAAAATGACCTTATTTTTAAATTTACAAATAGAGTCCTTGTGCTGAGAAGTATGGAATCCACTGAAGTAGACTAAAACTGAGTGTATTAATAGTGTTTATTTTGGGGAGTTTGAATAATCTAGGTCTCTCTAGGCAATGAGTGTTTCTGTTCTTAAATTACTACCTATAGTAAGTCTGTGTATTTTCTCGAAGTCTAGAAAGTGTCTATCAGTATTTATCATTATTATTTAATTTCTTCCTTCATCTTACAACTATCTAGAAGAAAAACCCCTCTCAGTTCCTTCCTTTACTATATGTGTGACCCTAGGTCATTTGCTTAAACCATTTGTGTTCTAGTCTGCTCATTAATAAAATGGAGAAAAGAGTAGTACCTACTTCACAGGGAGCTGTGACAGTCACACAAGTTAAGGCACGTGATGTCTTTAACACATTCTTGCTGTGTACGAGACAGCAAATTGTACTCTCGTTAAGCACCACTTCCTGCTGTTTCATAATACATAAATTCAAAGTCTGTTCATCTACCTCTTCCATGAGAAAGAGAGAGAGAGCAAGATATGTACCCCCGTATCAGGTCTCCACATCATGATTCCTCCACTCCCAGCCAGGCCGGATCACAGCCATGTGTACACACTTCGCATGCTCAGGGATGTCCTGGGATACAAACTCAGGACTCCTCCCACATGGATCCAGCTGCACTACCACTGTGCTACCACCTGTCCTCTGCCACTGTTTTTTTTTGTTTGTTTGTTTGTTTGTTTGTTTGGTTTTTTTTTGGAGAAGTTTTTGCTATAGGGCGCGTGCGCTCGCCAGACAGAGAGAGACAGAGAGACAGAGAGACAGAAAGCGAGAAATCACCCCCAGGGGGGTTGGCCACGCCGCAATCCCTTCTCCTCCATTCTCCTCTCGGGATCTTGGGCACGCACGCACACGTGCCCGGCGTGAGTTTTAAGCCACCGGGTCCGGGACGCGAACCACGGTCGACTACGTGGGAGTCCAGCGACATAGCCATTACGCTAACTGCTGGTCCCGTCTGCCACTGTTTTTGACACACAGCTGTGGCTCAATAGACATCTTTGGAATGAATTAATGAATAAATTAAAATGTGATGTAGGAATAAAGGGCAATTCTAGATATGTAAATTCTCACCTACATTTCCCTAGTCACAGGTAGGCAGTTGGAATAGCTGATTTGATAAAGATGCTACATTCTGGGAGTAATTGCTTTGCTGTGCTTAAGTTGGAGAGCTCATGATGTTTGTGTGTCTTCTGAGCTAGAGGACTTTGTAATCCAGAAACTTCATTAGTTGCATCGAAGCATGTGTTTAAAGAAAACATGCATTGAAGGGGTCAGATAGGAAGAGTTTGGGCTTGGACCTAATGTGAAATACAGGTTTCTTCCTCATTAAAAATCAAAAGAGGAAACAGACTATTAGACCCTCTAAAATGGGAGGAGAGAAGCAATGCTTTCCTGCCACAGAACAAAATGCTGAAGACCACAGTCATATGAGGGTCAAAGGAAGTTGGAAATGACCTTTCATAGCAGGCTCAGTGTTCAGCTAGCTTAAGATTTTACTTTCAGATCATCTCATGGATAATTATTTTGCCTTTTTACACAAAAGCTTCTTAGCCTGATATAAACAGTTGCTTTTCTTGTATTGGTATTTGCAAAGTGAGCTTTTGAAGAGTAAAGAACCTATTGACAGACTCTAAGTTGAGTTTTTGCAGTGGCTGACGTAGTTTTTTTTTTCTCTCTAAACAAAGATCTCAGGCAAATGGCCAATGAAGAAATAATAAGCTTCTCAAAATCAAATGCTCTTTCCAAGACCAGGCAGTAATAATCATAGCAGTTGCTGTTCCTTAGTGGTCCCACGTGGGAGGGGATTTGTGCTGATGCTGCGGGCACTAAGTAAATAAGAACCAGTTCAAGCCTTCTAGAAGTATCCAGTAAATGAACAGTTATACTGAATGGAGATTAATATGGGCCCCTGGGACTAGAGCATGGCATGTTGGTTAGTCACTGGACTCCCATATAGTTGACCACGGTTAGAGTCCTGGACCTGGCAGCTTAACGTCAGGCATGTGTGTGTGCATGCTCAAGATCCCAAGAGGAGAATGGAGGGAAAAGGATTGTTGCATGCCCCCCCCCCCGGGGTGATTTCTTGCTTTCTGTCTCTCTGGTGAGCACACATGCCCTATAGCAAAACTCTCTCTTAAAAAAAAAAAAATACACGCGCGCGCACACACATGCGTCCTTTCCATCTGCCAGCCTTGTTTATGCCCACTGGGGTCACATGAAATGAATTTTATTCTCCTAAGTGTCAGCTCCTTGAAGTATCAAAATGTAAGCCAAGAACTCAGGCTTCACCTTCCTTAACACACCAGGTGACCTCAGCCACTTCAATACAGTGTGGTTTTACATCTTCTCACCAGCAGGTCACGTTTCTCTGCATCCTCTCTAATCTGCCTCTGTGGTTAGGTTTGACCCAGAACATGCCTCCATCCCCACCATCCCAATGGTTTCGGCCAGTGCAGAGTAGAGCTGAGCAGTCTGAGACCCATTTTCAAGAGACACTGCAACTGTTGGGATTTTCTCTTTAAAAATCCAGGTGAAAAAATTTTCAGGGAAACACAGGGAATTCCCAGCCGTGCTCCCCTAAGGTGCTCTCCCATTTTCCTAATAGGTACTAGGAAATACTTTATAAGGTCTTAAGGCAAAGTTCATTCTTATTCTTCTCAAATTTAAAACAAATATATTTTCTGAAGAGTAGTATAGGTTGGGGCTGATAAAAATGGGCTAGGAAGGATTTCAAAATAGAGAGATTTGGTAAGGAAGGAAGCAGGTAACATTTATTTAGCATTGCCACGTGCCATCAACATTACCTAGTCAATGCCTCCTTCTAATCTGCCTCCTGATCCATGAATTAGTGTGTTAGGAGAGCCTATGCTATGTTTCAGTAATGAAAAACTCCAAATCTCCATGACTTGGGGTTAAAAAAGAGAAACACACACACACACACACACACTCACACACACGAGTTAAAAAAAATTTGGAATGAGAATTAATGATTTAACTTATTATTGTTCTAGATTCCCATCCCTTATCTTATTTTGTTTTTTTCTTTTTTGGAGAGATTTTTGCTATAAGGCACGTGCACTCGCCAGAAAGACAGAGAGAGACAGAGAGATAGAAAGCGAGAAATCATCCCCCAAGGGGGATGGCCACACCACAATCTCTTCTCCTCCATTCTCCTCTCAGGATCTTGGGCACGCACACACACGCACCCGGCATGAGTTTTAAGCCACCGGGTCTGGGACGCAAAACACGGTCGACTACGTGGGAGTCCAGCGACATAGCCATTACGCTAACTGCTGGTCCCCCCACCCGTTATCTTATGTCTTCATCCTTCCTCTGTATAGCCATGAGGGTATCTTATGAGTATTATTGGGAAAACCAAATGCTAGTTTAGTTACTATTCAATGAGTGTGTTGTGTGTGCGTATTTTGTTTGTTTGTGGTTCCTGGTTCTTTAAATTTCTCATTTTGTAACATTTCACAATAACTCTGCAAGTTAGATTATTATTAATTTTTATCACCATTTTCTGCTTAAGGAAACTAAGGTTCAGAGATGAAGTAATTTACCGCAGTTGATAAAGAGAAGATTAAGAATTCAAACCCAGAGCTGCCCAAATCCCAAGTTTATGCTCCCTCTTCTTCACTCAGACTGTCTGTGATGTTACACATTAAACATATTTAATACTTGCCTCGCGTACTAGGTGCTTAATAAGTGTTAAAGTTTTCTTTTTTCTTGCTATTCTTCTACCAAATCATCATATGCAAACTAAAAATGAGGAAGAAGTCTTCCAGTTGACAAAAGTATATGCCAGTTCCCTGATATGATCAGACACCATAAATTCTGAAATTATGAGCTTTTAGCCATCTAAGCCTCTTCCATGGGGCTGTGTCTCAACTCTGCAGGGCTCCCATTAATACCTACTAGGCCAACCCAACCAGTTCACTCTCCAGAGATATCTGGAAGTTCTTTGTAATCAGTTCCCACTCCTTATAGCTACCTCTCCCCCACACTCCCAAATAATTTGACCCACTCCTCTGTCCCTCTAAATAAGTTCAGTGTCTTTTGAGAGCTCCATAACAAAACAGGCCTGGTCCTGCCCCTTTTGAGTCCAAGTCTATAGGTCAGGGCAAGATGTACACAGCAATAGCTTCTCAGGAAGTGGAAGTGGGTCTCGGGGTGGGTCTCACTTTGGTTCCACCTAGTCTCACTAGGCCCTTTATTCCCCACGGAGAACTCCAGGTTTTATTACCTGCAGCAACTATGGTGCTTACATTCAGGCTGCTCAGCCGGAGGCATTTGGAAGTGGGGGATGTGCTTTTTGGTTATTATGACTAAGGAATATTATAGGCATTTAGTGGCTGGTGGTAGGCAAGGGCGTTAAAGTTTTGCAGTGCACACAGCAGGCTGGCATGACGAAAACATGAACTCACATGAAATAGCAGTATAGTCAGTCCATCCACCTTGAGAAGGTCAGGGCCATGGCTGGCTGCTCACCAATGCCCCTCCATGGCCAGCACAGCTCCTGTCTCTCCACAGATGCTTCATACATACCGCAAGGACAAATGTTCTCCTTTGTCACCTTGCCATCTCTCTGCATGTCTCCTCTTCCACTGCAGGTTCTGAAAAAGAGCTGCCCTGCTTGCTTTGAATTTCTGGAACCGACTTTAAAGGCGGAGGCTTTATCCAGCTCTATTTCATTTCTAGTTCATTCCTCTTTTCTTCCTCTCAAATTTTTAAACAATTTGGAGAACCACAGCCCTAACGAGTGCTTTCTAAATTGGTTATGATTTACCATTTGAGTTAAGCTCGGAGATACGGTTTTCTAGAGTAATTTTAGGTAAACATTTTTCTCCAAAGTAGATTTCAACACTCTAAAAAGGTGTCAGGTTGATGTCAAATTGAAGAAGTTGTTAAGTGATTGGCTTGAAGTGACCAGGCAAATCACAACAGTTGTGCTGCTGCCTTTCAAACTGCACACGTGGAGGAAGAAAGAGAACTTTTAAGGAGCCAGTGAGAAAAATAACCTAAAGCTTGAGTTCTGAACGTCTTTATTGTTCTTGCCGGAATGTCAGCAAAGTACCAAGGACACAGACTCGGGTTCCCTCCAGGACAGAAGGTTGTTAGGGGAGAGTTGGAACTGATCTCGGATCAGGGATGGAGCATGATGTGCAGCATGGAGCCTTCTGTGTGGTTGGAAATGTTCATAGTTCACAGGTTTTTCTTTCTGACCGATTCCCTTGAGAAGACCCTTAGCTCCTTTCCCTTTTGTAAATTTCAGAGAGAAGGTTCTCTTCCCACGAAGGGAATTCCCAACTCTCCTCCCCTCAGGGGCTCTCCCATTTTCCTAATGGGTATTAGGGAATACTTTAAAAGGTCTTAAAGCAAAGTTCATTCTCCTTCTTCTCCAATTGAAAGCAAATTCATTTTCTGAAGAGTAGCACAGCTCAGGGCTGGTAAAAATGGGCTACGAAGGATCTCAAAATAGATCTGGTAAGGAAGAAAAGAGGTAACATGTATTTAGCACTTGCCATGTGCCATGAGCATTACCTGTTCAGAACCTCCTTTTAATCTGCCTCCTGATCCATGAACTAATGTATTAGGATAGACTAAGCTACTCTCCCAAGACAAAAAGAAAAAGAAAAAACAACAACAACAAATCTCCATGACCTGGGGAGGAGGGGGAAGAGAAACACATACGGATTTATGCATCACGTCCATTATATATCCATTACACGGAGCAACTCTAGTTTTGAACTAGGTCGTCTTTTTTTTTTTTGAGAGGTTTTTGCTATAAGGCGCACGTGCTCACCAGAAAGGCAGAGAGAGACAGAGAGATAGAAAGCAAAAAATCACCCCCCAGGGAGGATGGCCACGCCGCAATCCCTTCTCCTCCGTTCTCCTCCTGAGATCTTGGGCACGCACGCACACATTTAAGCCGCCGGGTCCAGGACTTGAACCACGGTCAACTACGTGGGAGTCCAGCGACATAGCCATTACACTAACTGCTGGTCCCTGAACTAGGTCATCTTAACTTTAGGGTCCAGGTAGATAGAATTATTATCTGAAATGTTTCAGGTTGCCAAGGCAGAGGGAAAGAAAATCACATGGAATCATGGACTACTTCTCAAAGGTTTCATACACAAAAGAAAAAAATGGCATAGGTGTCACTTATATCCATATTTTATTATCTAAAGTATCATAGCAATGTCTACTTATAAAGGGCATAGGGAAATGCAATCCGATCATGGATTCAGAAGGTAAGCTAGAAATATTTGATGAATAAATGCTACTACTATTCTTGCTTTCTAGCTGAGAAACCTGAAGCTTAGGAAAATAAGTGATGGAGCTGGTTTTCAAAGCTGTGTTTTGTGATGCCATCTCCTGAGCTCTTTGGCCTCCTGAGTATTCCACAAGCATGTTCTGTACACAGCGCCCGGTCTGCTCTCCAAACGCTGTTGCTGAGCTGACATGTTCTTGGGGCTTTAGAGGGTATGTACATGTACCTGTGCATGGGCAGGTAAAAGCCAAATCAAAATGGTTAAGCCATTATTTCATTTTTCCCATTGCAGTTCTCTTTCAAGGGTTTCAACATACTCAACATGAATCGTTGTGTAATGGAAGTTTTATCTTTGAACGCATGCCAGATATTTTCTTTTACTCCTAGTCGCAAGTATCAGCTTCCCTTTTTCAAGCTTTCCTTGCTTACTGCCTTTGCTTGTTAAATAATAGAAGTGCATTCCTGTCCTTAGTTTGGTGTGTCAATTCTTCTTAGACTTTTCTATTCTAAGTACCTCTAATGGTAGAAAAAGATCTGAAGAAGACATCCTCAATGGTCTACCCTAGGTGGGATTTCAGACTTTAACTTGCCATGGTTTTTATGAAACCAGTTTCATAACATGTCAATATTTGTTTGCATTTAAAATGTTTTAAGTTATTGCCTCTACACTAGATCAATAGGCCAGAACATACACAAACTTACTTTATGATTTCCAGCACCTCTAGGAACCTGGCCTTAAGTCTTTTGCATCCTTTACCTACACTATGCTTATCAGATGAAAGCGTATTCCTAAAGGAGAAGCGCAAGGGGTGCTCTCAGACTGGGCATATGGTGGGTGCCTCCTGGCAGATAGAATACCCCAGAAGCCAGGAGAACAATGAAGAGGAAGAGAGGAGAGAGAAGAGGATTGTGAAATGGTATCAGGAGACAAGGAAGAGCCGGTACAGCCCAGAAAGAACCACAATGATGACAAAAACAAGCACATGAAAATAACTTGGAACTAATTTACTGATTAGCAAGTTGTCAAAAAAAAAAAAACCTACGTTTTTTAATTCACTGTATTTTTTATATCCATTAAAAAAGACAAAGTACTTTGTAGAAAGCAAAGCAAGCTGTAGCCTAAGGCGAACTCTTCAGTCTTGCTGACGTCTAATCCATAAAGCATGAGCTCCAGTGCTGCTCAGCCCAGGCAAGTGTAAAGTTTGCTAAACTCTCTGAGGGCAGAGTGCAATTTAAGTATTATGTATTATGAAATAAAATGCCCATTTAGGAAGAAAACTCTCCAGTAGCATTTTATGTACTTTAACTATCCTATTCAAGTCCTGATAGAACTGGTGGTCAAAGTTTCATGACAGAAACTTAAAAGGAAAATAAAAGAACAAAGAAACAAGTCAGACAGTAACAAATGACATGTGCCATTAAGGCATTGGCTTGGTTCAGAGAGAGATTCCTGAGCTAAAGAAGGCCTCGTTTACTGGAATAGGGAAATATAGGGCCAGGAAATTGCTCAGAGGCCTCTCGTCTTTTCCTGTGCACATGGAGATGCACTATGTGTTGGCTACTGCTTTGGATCAGAATCTCGGTTTTAGAAATAGCCTGAGTTGTGTCCTTGGAAAGGGAGAGAATTGTATGGTGCATTTGTGTGTGGTGGGAGGATGTTGGGAGGAGCCAGTTAGACATTCTCTGGAACCAAACTGCTCTTTGGGCTTCACAGACAGTTACCAGAACTGCACTGAAAGAGTGAGTGGCCAATCTGAGTTCAGAGACTCTCCGGTTCTCCTGGACTAGCTCTGAGACAGAGCCAAGTTGGTCCGAACGATGCCACAGGGCATTTCTGCATGTGCAAGCTGGATGCCTGGTTTCAAGCAGGCCTATTTTTCAGGTGCAGAGGCTGAGCTGTAGTCTCTCATTCAATGGGCAATGATCTCCCACTAGAAACTGTTTCAGGCAGTAGAGGCACACCAGGGAACAAAAGATAAACACCTCTGTGCTCATGGAGCTTGTATTCTAGTGGAGGGACATAAACAATGAATAAAATTAATTAGATAGTTATGTTAGAAGGTATGGAGATAAATAAAAGAGAAAGGAGAGAATGCTTGGGGGGCTCTTAGGGTGGCCACACTGAAAAGGTGATGATGAGAAAAACCTAGAAGTAAGCAAAAAAGAGAGCCAAGAAGATATCTGAGAGAATAGCTGACCAGCAGCAAGTGCAAAGGGCCTGAGGAAGGAGTTTGCCTGTTGTGTGCAAGAAACAATCAAAGGCCAGCAGGCTAGGAGGGAGGTGAGCAAGGGAGAATGGCAGGGTATAACATCAGCGGATGACAGGGAACACCACCATGCAGAGCCTGTAGGTCACTATGTGGACTTTGGCTTCAACTCTGAAATAGATAGAAAATCACTGGAAAGCTCTGAGCAAGGGAGTGACATTATTTGACTTATATTTTACTAGAATCAGTCTATTGAGATAAGAAGGCTCCAGAAAGCCCAAGAGTGGAAGTAAGAAGAGTTAGGAGGGCTATTACAATTCTGGGAGGAAGCTGTTTTGGCTTAACCACGGCAGGGCCAGTGAAGGTGGTAAAAAAATAGCTGTATGTTGGATAGCCATTGAAAAGAGAGTACAGAGAATTTGCTAATATATTAGGGTACTCAGGTTGTCTGCCCAGGAGCATGTTAGTAAGCTGTGAACACAAGGCCATGCGGGGTGCTGCCTCTCCACTCATGGAATACCACAAGAGACATAGCTAAAGCAGGCAGGGTTTCCATTGTTCTCTCTTTGTCTCTGCCTGTTAATTGAGGGTCTGTTATGTGTCTGGCACAATAATGGCTAACAGGACCCCTTCTGGCATGGAGCAACCTGTCTACTGAGAGAGTCAGACGTGATGTGAATGATTACACAAACAAATGTGAAATGACCATCCAGTACACGTTGTGTCAAGATTAGTGTGTCTTGGCCAGGAGATCCTGAGGAAGGGATGCTTCAGCTAGGATTGGAATAAATATGCATCCACCATGCAAAGAGAGGTGAAGGGGAGGAATAGTGTTCCAGGCAAAGGGAATGACATGTCGGAAGTTTCTGAAGAAATGGGGAGCATGAAACGTGTGAAGAACTGAGAGGAGGCCAATATGCACAAAGTGCTCAGAGCTTGGGGAACAGGGATATGACGTAACTGAAGAAATGGGGTCAGACAACATAGAGTTTGTAGGCTTTGTTGGATTGTAAACTGCATCCTAAGATCAGTGAGAAGCTATTGGAGGCCTTCACATTTGTCGTATGACAAGCTCACTATGGCTATGGTGAATTACACAACTGG